TCATTCACCCCTTCGGCCCTCGCAGCTTGCACCCGCTTCTCCATGCATCGGTAGCCAGGCGAAGAGAGTCCTCAGCCTCGGCAAGTTTCTTCCTGAGGAGGGCGGCCTCCCCCTCGGCTGCGCCCTTGGCCTCCCTCATTTGCTCCACCCTCCAGAGGTGCTCGCAGAGGCCCATAAAGCTCTACAATTCACAAAGACGAGGATAAGGCATGATAAACACATTACAAAAAAAAGAAGAGCACAACAACGAACAAGGAAAGGATGGGTATGACTTACGGAGGCAGCGTTCAGAAGGACCTTCGCCTCGAGGGATCCCTCGTCCAACCTGGCGAGGGCCAACCGGTCAGCCGATGGCAGCATCTGGCTCATCAGTACCGAAGGGTTCAGGCTGCCCCCTAATACAGAAGCCCCCTTCGGCACTAGCGCATCCAGCTTCTCCCGCCCGAAAAATTCCTGGTTGATATGCTTCTGGGAGGTGGGGGCGGAGGCGTGCCCTTCATCCACGATCACAACCACATCGGTGGTCGGCTGCTTGGTGGGGGCGGTGGTCTTCGCCTTCTTTGCCGGGGGCTCGGTCCCCTTGCCGGCGTTCTTCTTCTTCGCGGGCCCGGCACCCCTGGACCCTCCGGCGCCAGCACCAGCAGCAGCAGCTTGGGAGGGCTCCTCCCTGGCAGAAGTGCCCGCCGGGGCCTTCTTCTTCCCTTTCGCGTTCTTCAAAGCGAAGAGAGAGCCTACGTCCATGTTAATACCTACAAGCAAAAAAAAACACAGGAGGGTTAGACCGAAGGGTATCAATTACAATGGCATAAAAGATAGGAAAGAAAAGGAACGTATGAAACAAAAAAAAACTATCAAGGTACAAATGAAGCCTTCGATGATCACCTCCAGCTCCTTCGAAGACTCGATCGAGGGGAGGGTATCTTTCATCCGAAGAGCCCCTCGGCCTGAACTGCCGGAAGCCCAGGCTAAGCAATTCCTCGGGGAGGGTGACGTCTTTAATCTTGACGTGCTTGTCAGACCCCTCCGGTTTTTTGGCAAGCACTTTGCCATTCTTCTCCAGGGCTGCGCTCCCTACCTTCGGGTGGCGCCGGAAGCTGTTGCTGAGTTGGGCCGGGAAGGGGTTCTCTTCGAGACGAATGTAGCAGAATCGTTCCTTCCACCCCTTGTGGGACGAGGGCACGTCGTCAAAGAGCCTGAACTCCGGTACCTGCTGAAGGTTGGCAAAGCCCTCGGCGTTTGAATGCCCCCCCGGCAGAGGTTAAAGGACATGAAGAACTGGTCAAGGGTAGGTTCAACCCCCCCGCTCTGGCACAGGGAGAGGAAGCCGGCCACGTAAGAGTGGCTGTTGGGCGTTAGCCGGCAGGGGGCCAACCCCACGAACCTCAAATACTCCAGCAAGAAGGGATGAAGCGGAAACCGAAGCCCCATCTCCACCGAGAGAGTGTGAACAGCAAAACACCCTTCGGGCGCATACCGCAATAGATCATCTGCCCTGGGCTCCACCACGCGCGCCGAAGGGCCAACCAACATCTGAGTAGCCTGGTATTCTGCCGGGGACGCCCTCGTCTTCAGCTCCAGGGCGGCGGTGTTCAAGAACGAGTGGCTCTCGGGTATGCCTACCGGCCGCCCGGCGTCAACAGCCGCTTGTTTCTTCCTCGGGGCCGCCTTCATCTTCTTCTTCTTCCCGGGAGCTACACTGATGGGCGTCGGGTCCAATGGCCGGGAGGAGCTGGCTTCCCCGGCACCACGAGGGGGAAGAATGGCAACCGTCACCTTCATCCTCTCCCTCTCCTCTTCTTCTTCGGCAGTTTGCGCGGCGAGGGCGAGCTCTTCATCCTCGTTTACTTGCTCGAAGTCCTCGGCTTCGACTTCGTCCTGGAGGTCTTTCTCCACTTCCATGGCCACCGCAGCATCACCACCCACCGAGGACTCCCCGCTCGAGGACTCGACATCTGAGCACGTCTCCATCTCGACTGAAGGCTCCCCCGAGATATCCTGGGAGTCGCTTTGTGAAGACATCTTCCCACTAGCCGAGGGCTCAGAAATGCTAAGTATCCTAAAAAATTCTAACTCCTAGCCTAAAGGCACAGGGCACAGCTAGCTAGGAGGGGAAGAGCATGGGGGAATTAACCTTAAGAGCTGGGAATCGACCGAGGGCTGGAGTTTCTCTCTCTAGAAAAAATCCGGCAGAGCTTCGCTAACAAGTAATCGCACAAGGGGAGTCTGTCCGGCCATGGGGTATTTATAGGCGCTGGAATCCGGGCTTGGGCCTGGAAACCGGGCCTCCGGTTGGACTGCCATCATTACGGACCGTGGCTTCGCCCAATCGGTGACGCCCGCCCACGGGCAGCCAACGACCACACACCACGTGGCAACCCCCCCCCCCCCCCCCCAACGGCTATATTCTGACGTTAGATATTCCAACGGCTATATCTCCAACGGCTATATTCTGGGAGCCCCCGGGCTTTTTGCTTCACTCCACTTCATCAAGAAAAGCCTCCGGGTACACTTACCCGGAGACGCTCCCGGGTTGTGCCCCACACAGTACATAACAGATGCCTTCGGGATCACTCCTTCAGAAGCCCAAGGCTTCATATCGGGCACCCCTCGGGGATCCCCCCTCAGTACTTTGAGAGCCGGGTATCCCCCGGGGAGTATGCCTCATGGACGGATCGCCTACGGCACACAGGTAACGGGACCCCTCGAATATCCTCATCACCGACTAAACAACAGACGGGGGGCACCCCGGTAACAATTCAACCACTACCCTCATTCATTACGCCCTCGATCCCCAGATTGAGGGACTCGCCTTCGGCACCTCCCAGGGTATCGAAATCAAGCCTACGGCTAATCAACACATGAGACCTCAGAACAGGGGAAGCCTTCGGCATCATCATTATTCTCCATTTCGAACCAAGGTTTCACATTTTCGATTCATCGTTGGGGGAATTCGGTGCACTCTTTTTCCCTCATTAGGATTTTTTCCCACAGGGTTTTTCCTAATGAGGTTTTTAACGAGGCATCCCCCCAAAATGAAACGAAAAGCGTCAGCCTTCGGCCCAAAACAGCAACGCAACTACTCTACTCCTTTTCATCACTTTGCAAGTGCCTCAAGGAGTGGGGGACCGGAGGACCCCCTCGGGAAAAATCACAAAAAACACAAACATGACCCCTCAAGTCCCGACATGTGGGTAACTGAGGGACTGACCTCGGCAGAATAAACAAAACAGCAAACTACCCACAACTCTACAAACTACAAACGGAACAAACGGCGGAGGACAAACACAATTACTCTTTTTCCCTCAAGTACCTTTCGGCAAAAGGAGTGAGGGACTCCTGATGGAGTATATGGCCCGGGAACCCCCGACCCATAGACTCCTACTACTCCAATAAAGGCCCAACAGGCCCAGAAGGCCCAGCAGGCCCAAATCACAGCGCCTAGAGTACCAAGCAGCCCACAACGCGCACCAGGGGTGCCTTCGGCCCCCTGGTCGAAGACTCTAACTCTCACAGTAGGGCCAAGACAGCAAAACAAAGCTACTGGGAAAAACGGCGAAAATCAGTAGCCCTCGGCAATGGGAGCCCTCGGCACTAAGGGGGTCCCCGGTACTCAGAGCCCTCGGCTAGTCACCTACCGCCGAGGGCGCCCCTTCCGACACAATATCCGCTCCACATGCGTACAGATCACCGTACCCTGTACAAAGTCCCATCCAACAGCCGCATTAAATGCGGCCACATGCGGTTGCCAGCGCCAACCAGTTGAGGTGACCCCTCGGCCAATGAATGCTTGACACGTGTCCCTGTCCGGCATTTATTGCTACTATAAATAGCTCCCCATTTCCCCATTTGTAACCACGCTGGAAACGCTCCACACTTTACAATATACTTTCTCTCTCTATATTTACTTGCTCTGACTTCTCTCTTATTATTCTCCGTAATAACCCCTCGGATAAGCTACCCCCGGGTACACTATCCATCACTTATGATATGAATAGAGGCATGTCTTAATGATAAAAAAATAGTTGCACTTGTAACATTAGTAAAATGTGTAATACGTATATAAAAGTGGTTAGTAGATAAAATAAATTAATTGATGTCTTTCAAGTCATTTAACATGTTATTAGCTGAATGCAAACATCCATTTAACCAAACATTGTTCTATAAATAACTGATAATATCAACAAATCAAAACAGTCAACGGAATCCGTTGTCACCAATCAGACAACAGAATCGACCAACAACCAACAACAAACAGCCAACCGCCAAACACTCCCATGTGTTTTTTAGTTGAAGTGATGAAGTATTTAAAATATACTATCCTCTGTTCCATAAAAGTTGCAACAGTTTGATTTTCACGTTTGCCAACACACAACTTTGACTGTAATTATATTTATTCACGTATTAGTAAACATTAAAAAAAGTTAATATAATGGAAATTTACATTAAAACAAATTTATTAATATTTTATACATAATATTTTTATTATATATATTATTAGAAAATCGTAGTCAAAGTAAGGTGTGTGAATAGTGCAGAAATTCCAATAGTGAATGTTTGTTTTTCAAATTTTTGGATCGCTTAGAGTTTTTTTTCTAAAATCTTATAAAACCCAATGAAGGTTAGGTCTATTTAGGTACAAAAAATGTGTTGATGTAAAAGCAAGCAATATGCAGTTGTATTTAAGTATTTTATGTTTTAAACATTGTACTCCTTATTAGTGCCCTTGTTTTTTCGTTTGTGTTAATTTAGCTTGCTCTAACATTCTTTAACGGTTTAAACCTTAGCCGTACACTTCTCGCATCATTGTTCCCATTTTGCCATTAGTTAATGTGAAAAATGAAAATGGTGAAATTATGTCTTTTCCAATTTTCATTATAAAATCCTATAAAACCCAATGAAGATTAGGTCTATTTATTTAGGTATAAAAAAGTGTTGGTGTAAAAGCAAGCAATATGCCGATGTACTTGATGTTTTAAATGTTGCACTCCTTATTAGTGCCCTTGTTTTTTCGTTTGTGTTAATTTAGTTTGCTATAACATTCTTTAACGGTTTAAACCTTAGCCGTCAGCTTCCCGCATCACTGTTCCCGTTTCGCCATTAGTTAATGTGAAAAATGAAAATGGTGAAATTAGGTCTTTTCTAATTTTCATACTCTGTATATGCGTAGCCATTTTTCAGGTCTGGTAACTTTCCATCTCTATTTTTCCTGACAAACTATTTTGATTTATTATCCTTGTAATTGGTTTTCCCTCTTCATCAACTGTGCCTCTCCGTCTGTAATTGGCTTTCCAGATATGGCCCCTTCAAGCGGCATACCAATCCTTATGGATGCAAAACTATGTTGTAAAAAAGCAAGGTTTTTGGGGCATCACATCAAAATTGTTTCCCGTAAGTGGTTGAACAAATTGATTTTGCTTACCTTATATCTATTTTGCACACATGCTTGTCGAATTTGTCCTATTTCAGCTTAAAGTTTTCATTACCAACCAAGTTTTGCTTTTCATATTGAAGATGTATGTAGTCTTCTTCTGTGATTACTATGGAAGTGTAAAATTAAGTTGATCCCATTTGTCCCTAAAAGTATAGAGCGAGCTGTGCTTCTCCGTCTGTATAACCAGACAAAGTCACAACTGTGCTTGCTCATTGCCATCCGTGAAGATGTAGTCATGTAGGCATCTTTGACAGTAATTGATTTGAAAGGATAAGGCGGCCAAACCTACTGAACCGACGAGCCTTTTACATAGACTTTGTTTGATTTCATACACACCAATTCTAATTTGCACTGAATTTTGATCGGATAATTTCCTTTCATACCTTTAAATGTTTTACTTGTCAAACAGTGCTTCAGTTTTACTTGGAGTAGATTTTAGTATAAAATATATGAGTTCGATTTCTTGGAAGTCCATAGACATTTACGTTTATGAAAGTTCTTGAAGAAAGGGAAAAAATGAAAGGAACACTAACTAATCAGAGTATTGTAATGTATACTTACAGGACTATCTACATATTAGATGCTATTGAAATCATGGATAAATACTAACAATTAAAACATTTCCTTGTGCGTCTTTAATTTTCCAGGTTGGGTTGGATAGGAAACATACTAAGATAGACCTTATAAATTGACATTAATAACTGAAAACAATCAACAAAGTAGACAAATATTTAATTAGATAATATCACAATAGCACACAAACATTTCCTTCTTTCAAAGAGTTTATCACAAAAAGAAAAGATTTCGAGAAATCACCTTTTAATTTGAATTATTAAATGGATTTGATGCACCTTTGGTTTTTAAAGGTATGAGTAAATAGTACTCTTATCAACTGAAGTAAGTGTAATAGCGCGGAGTTAGTCTTTAGCATTGAAAGGCTAAATTCTTTCTCTAAAATGATGAGAGTATTGTTAATTTTCATAAGATAGTGATGCTCTGGCCTTTTATTTATATCATACTAATTTACTTGGTTAGAATCTTAATTATAACTTTAGATATTGAATGTTATACATTGGTTTTGATTACACAAACCTTCCTAAGAGATACTAAAGCCCACAACAGATATTATAACACTGGAAAAATATCAACAATGCAAACACAATTGTGTGCTCCGCTCGTGTCACTTTTCTATAGTTCTCACATATCATTGGTATTTTGATAACCTTGTCTTGTGGAATGATTGATCCCACTCTATTAATGTTGTCGTTAAGAGTACACTACATCATTTCAATTCAAGTATAACCCTAAGCTATCAACCAATTATTAAACTGAAAAGCTAACATCTCCCTATATCGAAAGGTGGTGTGTGTACACTGCCTCTCCAACTGAAATTATAGCCTCTAATTAAAACATACTCCCACTAAAACTACAACCTCTAAAACATACAATTTTAGAGGTGTCATACTATTTATGGACAGAATTAATTGTTTTTGTTCTGGAGTCTGATGTACCCTACTTTTACTCAAGAATGTCTCGCTATATGTGTTTATTTTCTAATCTTATTAAAACGTTGACGCTTTTAGGTCCAATTGAAATGCTTCTCTGTAGAATGCTATATATATCCTTGACAATAAAAATTTATAATTTTATTTTCTTAATGACAGCGTGCTTCCAAGTGCTCCATATTAATTAACGTGTCTTCTACTCTAACTCATGAATCACTTGCATAAATCTTGCCATGCCTTGATTTTTCTAGATAAAAGACGAGATCGCAAAGAGTTAATATGAGGTTAGTTGGTATATAATTAAAGAAACAACATTCAGTTTATAGATGGTATTCATTTAGCTAGACTCTAAAAACTATGCTTTGCTGGAGTTAGAATTCAAGTTAGATTAATTTGGAGGAAGCATGCTTGTGTTACATCCACTAATGTGAAGAATATAGTGTGACATTTTTAATACTCCAAGTGGACCACCCAAAAATTGAACAATTCTCCGGAAAACTTATTTTGTCATAACCACAAAATATATTATGCAAAGAGAATGCTTTATCCTAATAGTTATGTTATATACATACGGAGTACATAGTTAATATTGGGCATTCTCGCACTCATGCAACATGTATCACTCCATTCTTTTTATGTAAGAGAAGTGACTGAATATTCAAGTAAGTTGTCACATTTTTATTCATCATCTACATTTAAGCATATATATATATATATATATATATATATATATATATATATATATATATATATATATTTATTTATTTAGGATCGTGTGAGACTACAATCTAAGGAAAGAAATAAGAACAATCTTAGGCAATTAGATTAAGTGTTTATTTTAATATTTTATAAATTTCAGAGAGGGCTATCATGTCATTTTAGTGCTCTTTCCATCTTACACGTTTGACCAGTCCCACTAAAATAAAACAAAACAAAACATATACTTCATCCGTCCAGTTAAGATTGTTCATCTTTCTTTTTTGACCAGTCCCACTAAAATTGTCTCATAGCAAATTGGATATAATCCGTGTGGTTTTAAATCATTTTTATTTCATTCTTCTTTTATCAATTCAATAGCAATTACATAAACTCAATTTTCTAAATAACCGTGACTCCTCCTCGTGTCTCATTGTTAGTGAGACGGAGGTAATACTCGTTTCAGTATATCAATATATATTACGTTATTAGTAGTTTTACATTGTATTATAGTTATTTATGCGTAGTACAGAAAATTATAGAGTTAATATAGTTATTTATACGTAGTACAGAAAATTATAGAGTTAATTACCCATATAGGAGTAAAAGGTTTACGATTTGCCAAAATAGAAGTATTCACGTAACCGATGTTTGATAGGAGCCTTTTAAGACCAAGTTGACAAAAATAACCTTCTAATAAATTACGTACGCGATTTGAAAATAAACAGACATTGAAGACTCCAAAAAATATTGGCGTAGAACTTCAGCCACCCTCGCTGGTGTCGTGTGTCACTGCCGTCGCCGGTGCCGCCCGCCACCGCCTCCCACACCGGCGTCGCCACCCGTCGCTGCCCAACAGCCATTGCTATCAGCCGTTGTCACTACCGTCCCCCGTCATCACTGACGCCCAATCTACGCCGCCGACAATGTAGTCACTGTTATTGTCTGAGCATCGCCGTCACAACTCCAATAGATTTATCCATGAAAATTAATTAAAAATTTACCATGAAAATGATGTTTGCACAAAACCGCCATAATCTTGGCATATTTGCACAAAACCGCCATAATCTTGACAAAATATGAAGTCAACAACTAAATATCCGGTTTAACAAAATGGAACAATCACTTTAACAAATCCACCTCAATCAGAAATAAGATTTTAATGATAAAAATCGGGAAAACCCGGTTTGCGCCAAAATTTCATTATCATAGTACGATTATCAGCTTACATTTCTAACATAAACTTGGCAAAAGATTATGCCATCATGCAAAAATTGAGGAAATCAGGAAAAATTGAGAAATTAAAAAATGGGAATACGAAATAGAAGTCCAAAAATCAATCACCTTAACAAGTCCACCTCTATCAGAAATAAGATATTAATGATATATATCAGAAAAACGAGTTTACACTAAAATTTCAACGTCATAATACGATTGTCAGTGTACTTTTCTGCCATAAACTTGGCAACAAATTATGCCATCATCCAAAAATTGAAAAAATCAGGAAAAATTGAGAAATAAAAAATGGAAATACGAAATAGAAGTCCAAAAAGCAATAAATCGAATGCCAAAACTCAAAAAGCAGAGAAATAGAAGAAAAATCAGAAAAATAGAATAATAGGAGGAGGAGGAAGAAGGAGGAGGAAGAGGAGCAAGAAGGAGGATGAGGAGAAAGAGGAGCAAGGAGGAAGATGAGGAGAAACCTGGTTTGCAGGCAGCGTGCAGTGCAGTCAACGACAACAGATATGGCTAGGTACAAAATCGATGACATCGTGCTGAGAAGAAGTCAACCTGTATGATTTGTTGAGAAGCCGACGAATCTGATTTTTAGGGGAGCAGAAACTGATCGATGGAGAAGAAGAGAGGATGTGCGCAGAATGGAGAGAGAAGACGGTGAGCGAAAGAGTGGATCGATCGTGGGTTAAACATTTGAGGGGCAAGAATGGTATTGAAAAGTCTGTATGTTTTAAATAGGAGTAATATGACCCTATTTGGGGAAAACAACATTCATACTCCTCTTTTAGAATTTCTCCCACACAAATGCTAATGGTACCCCCAAAATATACCATATTTTTACCCCACACTCTAATGTGTGGTCATAAATGGAGCAATTCATTTAATTGAGCTGTCCCACTTAAATGAATTGTCCCATTTATGACCACACATTAGGGGTGAGGTAAAAATAAGGTACATTTTGAGGTACTCCTAGCAAAACTCTTTCTCCCATGTTTTACTCATAGATGAGACAAGTACTAAATATTATACTATTGTATAATGTTGATATACACAAACATATTTTGAATTTGGATACACTCAAATACTATTCGAAAACACCATATTCGAAAAATATATTTGTATTCATATTGTTTTTACTTGGACCGTAATTCGTTCCAGACCAGACCAGACCAGACCAGACCAAAATAGACCAGACCAGACCAGACTAAAACAGACCAGATCAGACCATATTTTTATTATTATTATTATTAATATTATTAGGGGTGTGCACCGGTTCAAAATTGGACCGGACCGTTCCGAACCGAACCGGATATCATTCCGGTTCGTTCCGGTTTTTCCGATCCGGTTCGGTCCGGTTTTCCGGTTTAAATCGGATAGTGCACGCCCCTAATTATTATTATTATTACTATAATTATAATAATAATAATAATTATTATTATTATTATTACTATTATTACTATTATTGTTGTTGTTGTTATTATTATTATTATTATTATTTTTATTATTAGAGATATTACCCGAAATATGACTAAAACAGTTTGAAAATTCCAAAATAGGACTGTCATGTTTTTATTCCCAAAATAAGACTAATTACTGTCATGTTTTGGCAGTACCACACTTCAAACATGGCAGTATTTTCGAAACATGGCAGTAATTAGTCCTATATTGGGAATAAAAAACATGACAGTCCTATTTTGGAATTTTCAAACTGTTTTAGTCCTATTTCGGGAACTTTCACTTATTATTATTGTTATTATTATTATTATTATTATTATTATTATTATTATTATTCTGGTTCGATAAGGTCTGTTCTGTTTTGATCTGATCTGGTCTAGTCTGGTCTGGTCTGGTCTGCTTCGGTCTGGGATTGAAATCAGACCAAGTAAAACGATAACAATTTTCGATAATTCGGAAGGAATATTATTATTTTTAATTATAAATGAATAAAATATAATTATTTATGGATTATAAAATATATATATAAAATAAAATCTTTATGCAAAAAATATAAAAAATAAAATTTCAGACCAGACCAGGTCAAAACAGACCAGACCAGACCAAAACAGATCAGATCAGACCAGACCAGACCAGCAAATTACAGTCCAAAGTAAAAAATAAGTAACATAAGACCATAATAAGTAAGAGAAATTTGCTTTAGGTAGTACCAAATCATAGCTGATTTACCAAAAGGGAACTGCCTAATGTTTTTTATATATGTATCACCTATTTAGTTCCATATTAGGAAACTTAATAGGTGACTTTCCAAATTTGCCCTTCAAATTAAAATTAGATATGCACGGGAAAATAACTTCCGCGGCTAACGACTTCGGTTTCCTTCTTCCGCAGCGGGACATCTCTGTTCTTCCGCATCGTTCCTCAGGTGTAGCTCAATTCGACAAATTTCTATCGAATATGTTCAAGCGTTCTCTCTACCAATTTCCGGCGAATTCCACATGTAGAATCATAATTGTTCTCCACATGTATAATCTCTACAATTGTCTCTCCTGTTGACGTTGCTCTTCAAAAATCTGTAAGTTATATTCGAATAAAGCTGCCAAACTTTTACAATTTCAATTTCATATTGGATATGAACGAAAATTGTTTATCGTCTTGTTATCTTCGTTGTCAAATTTATAATATTATTCTACTATGTCTATTTTTACTTTTCTGCGTGATGTTTGTTGTTTTTTGTTTCGTATGTGACTTTTGTATGTTTTGAGTTTGTTGTTTTGAATTTTGTTTGTTGATTTGAGTTTCGTATTGACTGCATGTATTCAGTTACTGTTTTTAGTTATAAGGACATTTTTATGATTATTAGTTCATTAGACATTTTGTATGATGCTGTTAATAACATATCGTGTTTGCTTTTTTGTATTGACAGTGATTGCAAACATGTTGCTTATGCTTAAGGTGGATGGTAGTTGGGACAACTCATATGTTTTCTTCAACAAACGATGCTTTGGCTTAATAGTACATGAGGGGACATTATATGTTGACTTTGCTTCCATGGTTTACTCATGTATTGGTGAATCTGTTACCAATACAAGGCTTATAATGTCTTACCTTGTAGATTCATGTCCACCTCCTGTTCTTGTTAATGATGATTCTAGCTTGGGATTTTACTTGGCTTTAAAAAAAATTGACAGTGACTATGCTAAATTTCCTTTGTGTGTTGAATTGTTTACTGTCCATTCTTCTGTAAATCAACCAATGTGTTGTGAGGCTTCTGCACTTGATCTTAAATTCCTTCCAAATCACCAGTGATTAATGTCCTAGAACAAGATATGCCTCCAAATTTTCTTCCAATTGATCTCAATGTTTCTGCTAGTGCTTCACTTGATGTTCAGCCAAATGGTATTAATGTTTATGCTGATTTTAGTCATTCCATCCCCAATTGTAATCAGGCAATGCCTTTGGAAGATACACATTCATCTTATAATCAAGTCTCAAATTCAGCTTGTCCTTTTGATCCTTTGGAACATGATTTAATACTTTCTAGGAGTTCTAGTCATACTTCTTCAAGTCAACCTATTAGTTTGCATTCAGATGGTCATTCAGATTCACTCTTTGTGGTTCCTGATTTTGAAGTTATTTCTCACTTCCATCCGACTCATATAGCCAGACATGCTGTATACAAAACAAAAAAGGCTTTGGATTTCCATTTAAAGGTTTATGCCATTTTAAATCATTTTCAATATAAGACCAAAAAGTCAACCAAAAAAGTATTGCATGTCATTTGTGTTGATGTAGAGAATTGCAAGTGGGCTGTTCGTGGAGTGAGGTTGTCTGGAAGTCACATGTTCCAGATTAGGAGGTATTAGTGTTCTTTTTTTAATTGACTTGTTATTATGTCTTTATTGTCTACCTAATGTCATTTAATGTTTTCAGGTTCGATTCTGATCATACATGCTCCACTGACTTTAGACAAGGTCGGCATCGTCAAGCCACATCAGATGTTATTGCAGAGCTTATCAAACACCGGTATGCAGATGCATCTCGAAAACCGTATGCTCCTATTGATATTATGGTGGACATGAATAGAGATTATGGTGTTATTCTTCCTTACAAAAAAGCATGGAATGCGAACAAAAAGGCTCAAAAGAAATTAATGGGTTCAGATGAGGAGTCTTACCAGCTTATGCCATCCATTGCGCATGTTCTAGAACAAAAAAATCCATGCTCAAAGATCTCACTTGTTATTGATGACGATCACCGTTTTAAGTATTTTTTCATGTCATTACGTCCATGGTTTGAAGGCTGGAAACACTGTGTTCCAGTCCTTATTATTGACGCTTCTTTCATGAAGGCTTGTTATAAGGGCACCTTATTAACAGCATGCGCTCAGGATGCTAATGACCAGATATTCCCATTAGCGTTTGGCGTTTGTGACACTGAATGAAAGGAGACGTGGCTTTGGTTTTTTAAGATGCTCAAGCAAACTCTTGCTCATAGAGATGCCTTATTTATTGTCTCAGATCGTCATGAAGGGATTATTCATGCAGCAAGGGTAGTTTTTCCACACGTTGAATATGGAAACTGTGTTCAACACATTTTAGGGAACATTAGAACAAAGTTTAAAGGTTGTGATGGGTTGTCATGGAAGTTTAACCAGGCAGCCAGGGCTGCCTCTCCTGCTGAACTTGAAGAGTATTTAGCTTTACTGGATGCTGAAGACGCTGGTATTCGTCCTTATTTGAGTGCTATTGGTTTTGAGAAGTGGACCCGTTGTTACAGTAGGCGCACTAGGTACTTTGTGATGACATCCAACAATGCTGAGTCACTAAATTCTGTAGATCGTATCCCTCGGGAGTACCCTATAGCAAAGTTGATTGATTTCCTGCGGGACAGAATGCAGAAATGGTTCTGTGAGCGTCGAGAAAATGCTGAAAAAAATAAAACTATTCTGTCTGAATATTTTGAGACCAAGCTACGTTCTTTCCATGCTGAGTCCTCTATGATGCTGGTAAATTAATTACATGTTTATCCTTTTGATTATTGTTGTTTATTTTTTATAATAATAGACTTCTAACTACTGTTTTCCATTTTTGTTACTCATGTTTAGGTGAAGCCTGCCAGTGCATATGAGTTTGAAGTTGTGGACAAAACTTCGAGAAGCTTTGTTGTTAATTTGAAGGAAAAGACATGTTCATGTCGTGTTTTTCAACAGGAGCATTTTATATGTGTTCACGGGGTTGCTGCAGTTGGTCACCGTCGAGGCTTATCATGCTATGACTACATCTCTAACTATTATTTCACACATGCATGGCTTAGCACATATAGTGGAGAGATGCACCCTATTGGTTCTTCGTTTGATTGGGAGATTCCAGATCATGTGAGATCAGTTATATGTAAACCACTTACTTGTTTGACACGTCCACCTGGTAGACCCAAAAAGAAGCGCATACCATCAATTGGTAAATTTCCATCTCGTCAACGTTGTTCTCGATGCAAGAAGGGTGGTCACAACAAGAAATCTTGCACCAATCCTATATCAGTTTGTAGACCTTAAGATGTATATTTCAATTTCAACTTTTATTGTTCTATTCACTATATGCACTTTTTGTTTTACAAGCATTTCCTATCAGTTATGTCTTTCTTTTTATCGATATTCAATAAAAAGGCATATTAAGAATACGTTTTATTTTACTTAACTTTCATTGGTGCTCAGATGTGTTATCTTTGTATTTTGTATTTCTGTCATACATATACATTAATTATTAAACATCAACTATATGTTGATTTGTTTATTGTCTTATTATTGTCTATTTATTGCTTATTTAGTGTCTAACGTACTTGTTATATGAAATTTATTAATTTAATAAAAACCTACTTCATAAGTTTATTAAAAGACACTATTTTTTCATCTCTTCACTCTTTGTATTTGAAATATTTGTGTGAAAAACTATGTTATGTGAGCGAATAGACATATAACAGTTCATATAGCAGTTCATATTTGTGTGAAAAACTATGTTGTGTGAGCCAATAGCCATATAACAGTTCATATAACATTTCATATAACAGTTCATATAATAGTTCATATATAGACAAAAAACATGACATTAAGTATCATTTAATGTCTACTTAATGGCATAAAATAGACATTAATATGAGTGTTCATATAACAATTTTGCTTGCATCAATGCATTAGACTACGAGTTCAGTACATTCTGACATGAATTAGATGCACTACAGTACATATTAACCAGAATAAATGTGCTTTGTTTACGATACATATCACAACAACCAGTTATTAAATCTACTTTTCTTTTGACGCATACAAAAGTAGTTTCGTTTTCATCTTCTCTCGATACATCTCCATGTCATCATTTGAAACCTCAGTAGCTTCTCTATCAAGCATTAGGAACTCAGCAAACTTGATCACAAACACCCCACAATTCCCCTTGCAAGATAAAAACAGATTACTATCTTTATCTTTCTATATTTATAGCTATATAAGAGATTTATATACATTGTCCATACCCATCTTGGTGCTGTGGACAATTTCGCACCATCTCAATCTTTAATTTTCCCTTTCCAACTGCTGCTTCTTGACGTTTGTCATATACTCCTAATCTCTCCATGACCTTTGGCAAGAAAGTCTCTAAGCATGTCGTATATGCCCTGATGCTAGACAATGTGTCCCCTCTTCTCTTCGGTGAGTCGTAAACTCGGATATGTTTTGCATTGATTTCTAAAACTAATAAAACTCAATGCATCCCTGTATTCAGCGGCATGTATACATAATCAGCATCTGCCCATGGCATCATATTTGCTTGGCTAGTACCCAAGATGTTATTCATTATTGTTCCATTGTATGCTGCCTCAGTCAGTGTTGTCTTTTCGTTATCCATCAATCCAGCTTTCAACTTTACCATCTCAATGAATAAAGGATCTGCTGTGGCAAACTTTTGCTTCAAATTATACTGCTTCCTCTTCATGCCTAAGTACAAAAATGCTATTCCCATGTGCTGAAATACATAAAATATAAAATTGATTTGATTTATTTTTGTAGTATTTTTCAGACACTGTATATATATATATATATATATATATATATATATATATATATATATATATATATATATAGTGTCTGAAAATCTTCTTCCTGCAATGAAGCAGTCCGAATGGGCATGAGACTAGCTCTTCTTCCTTCTTTTTGTACTTCTTTTGTACATTACTTGAGTGCTTTTTTAGTAGCCCCTCTTCTAAATAAATCTTCACTTTGTGCACATCCTCCATATCAGGCTTCTTTTTTGGATCTTCAGCCAACTGTCCTCTTACTGGACTTGTGTCACTATCTGCTTTCTCTCTTTTCTTCATTGCCTTTTCCATCTTTTTCTTCTTCATTTCATTTGTTGGGTTGGGTTTGTATCTTTCTGGACTTCTAACAGTTCTCTTTGGCCGTTTCAGCTCATCTTCCTCCACTTCATGCAGTCTTGTTTTCTTTTCTACTTGTATAAGCAACTAGTATAGCACATCATTATTACAATTTTTAGTCATTCGCTTTAGTGTGTATTTGTTAATGACTATACCCTTTTTCTTACTATAGATAAATTCATACTTGTTCATCATGTATGCGAACCTCCTTTATTTTGAACTGATTAGTAAGAATATCATTCTGTCTATCTATCACCATCTGCTCTTCCTGCATTCAAAATAGTTACATAAAAATGTAGTTAATAATTTCCCAAATTCAGGCATTAAGTAGACATTAAAATAAGAATTAGTAAAAGACCTTGTACCCTAAACAAATTATCTCTTCTTCTATTATCTCCTCTCTTTGCTTCAAATCTTTAATGACATCTGATATCACAGTATTCACATGGATTTGTAGCTCCTCACTATTGATGCTTGTTTGAGTTGTCACCTCAACTTCTTCACTCATCAAAACATCTTGATTTTGAGCACAAATCGGTTCTGCATCATTACTATCAATCTTTTTATGAGGTTGACTGGAATCATCATTACCAGCTTCATCTTCTTCACCCTTTTTTGTCACCCCTTCAGTTTCTTTGCTCTCCTTCTGTGTGTCATCAATATGGAGATCAAAACTTGGTGTCTCACACATTCGAATGGAAGAATCATTTTCTTTTTTTTCAGGAGACGTTTTCTTTTCCATTTCGCTTTCTGGCTCTGCGTGAAGACCATCATATAAGTCCAACCCCCTATATTGATGTCATCTTCTTCATATTCATCATTTTTCCTAAGAAGAGATCTCAAGATATCAGTTTGTTCCCTTTGCCCATTCAGAAGCTTTTGCATTGCATCTTCAAGCTTTTCCATTCGGTTTTCAAGTTTTTGTGTCTTCTTTGATTGGAGCACCACAGCAACCATTATGTTACGTAGTATGGTGTTATCTCTCAGTTCATTGCCAACACCCTTTCTTCTCTTGAACATGCGATTTAAATTGCTGATTCCACTTGGACCTGCATGCTCAGCTTTTGTGTGGTTGATGTTTGCATTCCCTTGCTCACTTGGTTCATTGTTTTCCTCTTCAAACTGTACATGTTTTTCTTCATAACTCTTCCCAACTTCTATATTTTCAAGTTGATTGGCCTTCACAGCATTTTCTTTCCTAATTGCTGCCAAAGACAGACGACTTGTTTTCATCACGGGCTTAGGCATTTTTTCAGCATACATTGCTTTTATAATTGGGTTTTGGAGCGCCTCTTCAGTTGGGCACATTTTCTGAAATTCAAACTACATGAAAGAATTGTTATAGTAAAAATTACACAATAAGGAGTCAATAAATTAATATAAATATGTTGCAGCAGATTAATTTATAAACATTACCTCTTTGTTGTCAAATATGTGCTCAGCAAGTGTTGTGACACAAGATTTTATAGGTACTGACCATTTGAGAATTCTTGGGCACATTCCCTGTCTTTCGTCTTCATTAGTACACATATTTTCCCTCCTAAGTGCAGGAAAACTTTCAAACGCCCATATTTGCAAAGCAAAAGCAAAGCCCGGAAATCCATATCTGAAATTTTTGGACTTATTATTATTATTATTATTCTGTCCACTTGGGAACTTTTTCAAGCAGATCTTCCCATATTTCATCTCCCCATGGGTATTGATTCACCAGATCAAGGTTGTCAACCATGTTGATGTACTTTTCTGGGCATTTTACAGTGCTTTGATTCCCAATAAAGAAATTAGCAATTAAATGCAGAATTGCTAACTTTACCCTATCCAAAGGCTGCTTTTCTACCATTATGTTATCAAACTCTTCAAAAGCCCTCTTAATGTTTGCCCTTGACACATTATACCTTGAGTTGATAAATCTTTTCCAGATATCACCTTTAGACTGTATGGATATTACATGTTTTTCACCTCCCATCTTGAATCCTGTTATTAGGGCAAGCTCTTTTTTATAGAAACATACACATGTCACCAATGTTGAAGATGGAGCGGTCTCTGTAAGCTTTATTGTTCAGCCTTTTGACATGATTTTCTACAATTAATATGAGCAGCTGACCAGTGATCCACTGAACATCTCCAATGTCTAGCATTTTTCCAAATGTCGTGTTTCTGAATTCCACCAATTGCTCCTCACTTAGCATTTTATTTATTTTTTCGATTCCATTGTACAAATTGGAGGAGCAGTTAACTTTGAGATCTGTTTTATTGTCAAGCAATCCTCTGCCACATGATCTTATTATTACCCGCTAGATGCACAAACATTACTTGTACATTGTCAACATTATCTTATAAACTACATAGATAATACATAAGTTATTTACTGTGTTATTAGTAAAGCCCAATTTGATCAATAATATATGCCCATTTTGAAATCACTGTCTATTAACCTTATATGAAAACCACAATCTCTGAGGACCACTTCAAATCAAAATATTGTCCATTTAAGTTGGTTCATTAATAAAGCTCAATTGATAAAACAATATATGACCAAAAATCATTTCAGATCACTGTCTATGACCACCTCAAATGAAAATATTGTCCACTTAACTTGGTTCATTAATAAAGCTCAATTGATAAAACAATATATGACCAAAAATCATTTCAGATCACTGTCTATGACCACCTCAAATGAAAATATTGTCCACTTAACTTGGTTCATTAATAAAGCTCAATTGATAAAACAATACTCCGTATATGACCAAAAACCACTGTCTATGACCACTTTATCAAAAGCAATATATGTGAGCATTACATCAATTACAAAAATCAAATGTAATTATTGTCTACATGATCTCAGAAACATAATGTCCTTACAAAGGTAACCTATTAACTTGTTTCATTAAATAAAGCTCAATTGATCAACAATATTTGACCATACATCATTTTAAATCACTGTGTTTGAGAACTATATTGAAAGCAAAATCTGTGACAACTAGGTCAGCTACCAAACAAATTGCCTACTGTGTTTGAGAACTATATTGAAACCAAATTGAAATTATTGTCTACGATTACTATATCAAAACCGTAATTACTGAGATTTTATCAAATCAAACACTAATGCATGTCTTCTAATACTAATTTCAACTCAAACACTTTGCAATGACAATGAATTGGATTTTCAATCTCTCTACTGTAGTCATTATTTCACAGTTTCATAATATTAAACAAAAGTAATTGTAGACATTACCTTGCCACATGGAAGAACCTCTGGTTTCACTTCTTCGTTTTTATTCTCCTTCGTTAGTTTCTTCTCCTTCGTTTCAAAGTCGTCGTCTGAAACTTCATTCTCGTTTTCTATGTTTTCTTCATTTTTATCTTCCGACTTCTTCTTTCTCTTCAACATTTTTATCGTCTTTCTCTGTGGCGTTTTCTCCTATTCGAAGTGCTCTGAAATCGTCTGAAATCATTTTCAACTTCTAAGGAAAAAATCTGTCGAAGAAGCTTTGGGAAAGTAGTCGCAGACAATTTTTTTGGAAACGAAAAAGGTGAAGTACGTTGATCGATGTTTAGTGATGCGGTCAGGCTGTCCTTCAGGGTTGTTTTAATTGAGGGCATTATTGTCAGTTTGCATCACTTTAAGTTCTACGGGTTTTGGAAGTACTATTTTTGGAAGTCTACTACTCCCTCCGTTCCTAAAAATTCTTCCCGATTTGACTTGGCACGCTTATTAAGAAAGTGGAATAAAGTGGAAATGTATGGTTGTGATTGTGTAAGAAAAATGTAAAATGAATGTGAGCCACACAAATTGTCCAAAATGGAAAAGTAGGAAGTATTTTTCGAGAACAACCCAAAAAGTAAAGTGAAAAGTATTTTTGGAAATGGAGGGAGTATCAATTAGTACTATTTGTAAAATTTTCCAAGTAACACAATCCACCGTCACCGTATTATGTATCCGCTAGGAGTGGAATTCGGATGGACAGAGAGAAATTGTAGCATACGGAGTATTTAAATACAGTACGGAGTATATTTTTCGCTGTGCTATACGGAATATATTGCAAAAAATGCAAATTACAAATTTACAACCCGTAGCTCCGACGAATAATTAAAAAATATACAGCGCTTCTTGGTCTCATTTAACGACCACCATTATCGTTGGAGTGAGCTCCACGAGATTCAAAATATTCATATGGTTTTTTCCGGAAATCACAAGTATAAGTTCAAATCAGCTTCAACCGTGTCGGATTCAAAGTTATTTCTGCATATTTTAGGGTTCATCTAACTGAAGATGGCGACAACTGCTCCAACAATCTTCCCTTGGATTTCCGAAGATGACCTCTTGTTGAAGAACGCTGTGGAGGTTTAATATTGATTAAACTCTAAAGCACAAACCAATTTTATTGTTTAATTTGCGTGTAGAATTTTAGATTCTAAAATTAATCGCTTCCTATTATTTTCTTCCCGCTCATAAGCGATTAATTATTAGCTTTCTAAGGGTCATATTTGTAGTGTTTCGTGCTTGTTGGATGATCTAGTAAGTATGGACTCTCATATGAGTAGTACTACGTATATCTCAGTTACAAAACGAATGGATTACAAATGCTTGTGGTGCAACTGATGCTAACGTCTAATTTGAGAAACAAATGAGCTGTTCACCTGAAACTGAACTCGTTAATAACATTTTCCTGTCTCCTAGATCAATTTTGGATCACAAAAACTAGTTTTCCAAAGCCTATTTTCAAACAGGCCATGTATTTTCTACAGTTGTGGCGCACTAACCTATTTATCAAACTCTCACACATGAGAAGGCATCAATCACGATGTGTATACTGAATAGTAAACATTAATGTGCAGTTATCACGTGCAGTTATGTAAAAGTGGTGAGTATAGAATTAGGGTGTACTACATAATGTTCCTGAATTATTCACACTTAAATAGGTAAAATTGACAAACTTATACTTTTAAAGGTGAATTTTCCCAATGTTTGAAGGGGTGAAAATGTAGAAAGCAGAGTTGATTCTCATAACTTCAACCTGAATGTTGTGATTGCTTCCATGAAAAAAAAACGTTTCAGCTGAATGTGAACTTCTGAAGGAAACAGTTGCTTAGATCAATAGTCATAATGATTTATGGACCCCCACTTCAATGCTGTATAATAACCTTTTCATTTCCATATTTTCTGTACTTCTGTAGTCAACATCTTGTCATCTTCAGACTGGATTTGTGGTAGACTCAAGTCATCATTTCATTATAACTTGCAAATGGTTTATACTTCTGAGTTATGAGTTTATGACTCAAGTTGTTCATAACACTGATTATTACGGAGTGAAATTAGTCTTCTTCCATGAACATCTGAAGTTATAAAACATTTATGGTGTGTCATTATATTTCTCTTTCATATTATTTTGCCAAAGTAATTGCTAAGAGTATCTTTTTCAACATATTTGCAGGCAGGTGCTTCTTTGGAGGCACTTGCTAAAGGTGCAGTGCAATTTTCTCGCAGATATACATTACAAGAACTGCAGGAACGGTGGCACTCACTTCTGTATGATTCTGATATTGCGGAACAAGCTTCGGTTCGCATGATAGAGCTTGAACTTAAGGCTAACAGACCAGAATACATAAAAGAAAAAAAGGAGGTGCCTCGAAAGAGGAAACTCAAGACCATACACAAGCAGTACCATGCTTTGCGAAAGAAATTTCGAAATGATTTTTTCAATTCCACTGATCTGTGTTTTCTGGAAGGACCCAGTTTACAAGACTTTAGTGGTCATGAAAATGTGCCTCATGACAGAAATGTCCTTGGGAACTGTATTTCAGATAATCTAAGGTTCCAGGAAGCGGAATTGGACATCCTGCGTAATGCTTTCCCAGAAGCATTGGCTGAAATTGCTTCCACGTCTTGTATCGCATATCAAACTGGATGCAGTAATACAGCTGGTGATAATCAAGTAACTGAAGCTTCGAGGAATATTGTATTTTCTGAGGGTTTTTCTGCTTCACTAAAAGAGAGGGCTACTTGTATCCAGCCTAGCAATGAACTCTGTGAAGTACCTCATGTTCCCAAAGATACCCCCCTTAACTATGGAAAATGCTCAGTTGGTGAAGGATGCTGTCTACCATCAGCTACTTCGGATGGTGAATTCACAGACCTCCCTGATTCACTTTTGAATCTTTCAAATGATGATGATATTCTCATGGAGGACGAGGATGTGAGGAACATATTAGATAACTCATCCGATAAAAATGGTATACTCATAAACTCTTCTGATTGCATCCAGGAAAGCGGGGCATATACTCATGAATCTGAGACATTAATTGATTCAAAGACATCGCCCTTGCCTCCAGATGGTGCAGAGTGCATTGACTCAGAAATGGTTGCTCCTTCCACATGTGACCAGGAAATTACTTGTTATCGAGAGACTATTGCGTCAACTAACTTAACTTCAAACGCAGAAACAAATAAATCAACTGATGGTAGCATTTGCTGCACATTAAATACGGAGGACACTGAAATCCCCTGTAATGATGATATATTTTTACTTATCCACCCATCAACATCTTTTGGTTCTGCTGTGACAGAACCGAGGAGTGCACACTATTTGGACACACCATCTGTTGCTAATACAAAAGATACTAAACAATCAATGAATTCCGTGACAAGAGGGAAATGTTATGTGCCATCTCTTGCATGGTCTCACAAGATTGGACACAACATATTAGGAGAACCGCACATTCAGCATAGCGCAAAATCCAAGTTGACTGAAACTACCCGCCCCCCTTTGCTTTCTGGGGAGCCAAACAAGGTACTTTCTGACTCAAGGCAAGGCAGGACCTTGCAAGGAATTCTGGAGGCCCCCCTTGGTAGATTGCAAGAGCAGGGTGCTGCTATAACTGGATTGGTAAATGATTGTATTATTTTTTTTGCTAATACTGAGCATTTGTTCTTGTATTATGTGACCCCCTGACGTTTTTATGAGCTGTGAGCAGGTTGGAGATGCATCAGATGCCCACCCTGGAATGCCACAATTTTCCGAACAGGGTTGTGTTGATGTAGCTGCTGTAGAATTGTCAGTCCACCCCTCAACATCAGATCAGGAAGAACCAACAAGTGATGATGATGTACCTTATTTTTCTGACATTGAAGCTATGGTAATTCTTGAAAATTTTCTTCCCCCCCCCCCCCCCCCCCCCCCTCTCTTATGATTATTTATTAAGGTCTTAGATTTAAGCTTGCTGAAGTATATTTCCTTATTTGTTCTCATGACATCAAATGCCAGATACTCGACATGGACTTAGATCCATCTGATCAAGACTCCTATACCGCAACACAATGTGAGTTTCTTTGAAAGCTTAGTGATTGGTGCTTTTTTTAACTTCATGTGTATGGCATGAGCTCTAGGATACGGCCATCAAGTGTCAGCTATAATGTGTTTTTTTGTGACTGTTAACTAATACAGAAACCCAAAGAATCTCTTTCATCGGCGTGGAACCTAAAATTGATCCATCTTTTTTTTCCATTTATAGCTCTGACATATTGTCATTGATAATGTCCAGTGATAAGATATCATCCCGAAGACAGTAAAAAGACAATTATAAGGTTGGAACAGTGTGCGCTCTCTTCTATGCATAGAGCGATGTCATCTCAAGGGGCGTTTGCCATCTTGTATGGCCGTCATCTTCGGTACTTCATCAAGAAAACGAAGGTACTTTATTCATACTTATGTCATTTCTGGTTTGTACTTCTTTTCGATTCTTAATAAGTTAACTTTGCAGGTGATACTGGGAAGATCTACAGATGACATTGATGTTGATGTTGATTTGCGAAAAGAAGGCAATGCAAACAAAATATCTAGACGTCAAGTAAGATTATCTAGTCCCTTCAAGCTTCACTTCCATTGAGGCATTTGTGTAGGGAACTAGTATGGAGTTTGATCTCAATTATTCTTTTAGAATCCCCAATTAAGAAACTCAAACAACTGGTTTTACGTAATAGTTGTCGTGAACAGTTTATGGAGTTTCCCTCTGTTCATTGCGTGTTACACGATGACAATTTTATTTTATCGTTTACGTTCCTTATTAATATACTCAGCTTTTCTCTTCACACATATTTAGGCAATAATTAGGATGGAACCAGATGGATCATTCTTTTTGAGGAATATTGGGAAGAGCTCAATAACAGTGAACGGCAAGACAGTTGATAATGGAAAAATGCAGCTACTAAGCTCTAGTTGTCTGATTGAGGTATTTATCTCCCTTCTTACTTTTACAATTTAATTTGATATTTGCTTTGCTGAAAGAATAATGTTTTTCTGTGAAATTGGATGACAATGACACCATTGAGAAAAAAGATTTAATGATTTAATAGAAAAACAATCCTCTTGAGTTTAGAAAAAATGCTAGGAAAAAGAAGAAGAGTATAATGTAGTCTTACTGGGTTTTGGACCCTTCCTTAATATCTTTTATTTCTCATTGTGCAATTTCTCTACTATTTGGCTACAGGAAACTCTGAAGTCGTAGATTGTTGTTTGAAGCATAATGTATATTTCTTTTGGTCTTCTTTCCGAGTTGTTATTGTTCAATTTCGATTACATAATTTCATTGGATCCAAATGGTAATGCCCAGCAAAACGCCATGAACAGTTCATTTTGCTCCTATGCCTCTTTTGCAACTTTCATCCCTTCATTCCTAGGATATATATCTTATTTTTGACAATGGATTTTGTGGGTGAGGATTATAGCATAAGTGAAACATTTTAGTTGGCATCACGTTTTCATGACTATTTTATGCAGTCAATTTCTACATAAATTAGTCTATATAGTAATACGATCTCGTGGTTTTACTACGAAGTCACAGATCTACCTTTGAAGAAAAACATGAGCAAAATCATACTCCATTTAAAATAAAAAAAATGAAGAGCTTTAATTTTGAATCTTCTTGGGAATTATTTAACGTATTTTTTAAGAACCTTCCCCCCCTTTTCTTAGTGTTTTTAATCCGCCTTTTTTATTTTTAGTACTCTGAGTTCTCAATAAGTTGTAAGCCAAGTAGACACAGAGCAGCCGCACCCCCTCCACAACCTTAGTTTTCTTATTGATCATGAGCTTATGGTCTTTCCTCTTTCTGGACTAGTGTAGTTTCGTAATGCCTACGAGAACTTATGTGGCTCATGCATGAAATGTTATGAACTTGTAGATCAAAGGAATGGGCTTTGTATTTGAGATGAATAGAAAGTATGTGCAGCGGCACTTGGATACACAGAAAGACAAAGCAAAGTTTGGCAAGTTTGATTGGTCATCTGAAGGGTAGGGTTTTGAAAGCAGATGAAAACCCATTGAAAGGTAGCCCCTCTTGTTTAATTGCTTTCAATCAGTTACATAGCTTCCCTGGTGGATGAGTTTTATATCCTTTGTCCGAATTAAATCCCCTTTGCCCCAACAACAGGATGTGTACATATGTGATTCTTAGCAACGAGTGTTTAACTAGAAATTTAGAATTAGAATCCATTAATATAAAGCACCATACACAAGGTCTTTGTCTATCCCCCCATCTGGCTCAATCATATCAAATAATTTTAAAATTTGATCCATCCCTACTTTCATTTTCATTTAGTTTTTCTTTTCATTTGTTGGCGAGATGGTAATGGTCAGAAGAGGAGATCGGAAGGTCCTTCTAGTCATTGTTAGATTTGTATATGAACGAACAAATATATCGTGTGTTATAGGAACTGTTTGAAAAATAGTGTCAAATACTGAGTTTGACTTTGTGGTGAAGAGATTCAGCTTGTAACTACTATATACTCCGTAGTTAATGATAGTGGAAGACGGTATAGGAACTAATAACCGTATATTAAATTGTTGGTTCCATGCTCACTTTGGCGTGTCAAACAGAGCGCCCCTGGTTGGTACCTACTTATAGACTGTAGACATTTTTTGGGGGGCTACAGTTGGTTCTACATATCTATGCAATCTATTAAGTTGAATATTTTCTATTGTGTGATGTACTGTATGTTCAATATGTAATAGTTAGTGCTGTTCAATATGTTCTTAAACATTCCTTTTGAATATAGAGAACTTGTGCATTCGGAAAATTACTGTGCAACCAGAGAGTACCATGCTCAATGTGCTTTGCGTGCATCCGATATACGTATTGGATTGTTTTGATTACACTTTAACGATTGGTTGAGTGGTGTGAGGTCTACGCATGTATTCAGGATGTTCAGGGTTGTCTACTTCTCTTGCTCCCAACAAATTATTCTTCATGCATCTTTGGTATATAGACGACGAGAAAATTCTTGAAACAAGAGTGAAAACGTTTGAGAATTTCAAAATAGGATTATCGTGTTTTTATTCATTAAATAAGAGTGAGTAATTACCGCCAAACTTTGAAAGGTACGGCTATATTTAAAGTTTAGTACGGCCAAAACATGACAATCATTACTCCTATTTAGGGGGAGTACACATACGTTTTTACTATTAGGGCAATTTCCTATGGACTAATACAGTAGTGTGAATTGCCCTTTCATAAAAAACATACAATAAATAATATGGTGTGTAATATCTCTAATATATTTGAAAATAAATCTAATTTGTGGTACAGTGTAAAGTGATCTCAAATTTGTTTGCATGGCATTATGGAGAGGTGGGAATGGTTTGTGAGACTGATATGTGACACGTCAATAAATCTAATTATTTTGGTAAACTATCTGCTTCTAGTATAAATGGACATTGCTGAGGTTTCAGAGTTTGAAAACGAAATTTTGCGTGAATTTGTCCTTGAGAAATTGAAATAGAGTACATAAAGCAATAGAAAAAAGTTATTTAAGTGTAACATCATTTAAGCTTTAGTCCCCAAAAAGTCTAAAGTAAGTTGACATATCAAATCAAAACTAAAAAGATAGAAGAAAAACTCACATAAATAAGCTCAAAAATTTATGACCTCAATATGAACTATTAGTAATTCCAATATTATTTATATTATGATGGGTATCTTGACTATCTTCCCAAAATAAATCGGTTATTCGCATAAATAAATTCAGCAAGTCACCGGGACAGGTCATATTATTGTTGGTTTACATTTTTTTCCTTCTTTTCCCTCTTTTCTTCATCTTCCTGGGATTGATTGTATGAGTGTTTCAGGAGACGTTGTCCCTTGTCCCATCCTTGGCGCCATCGCTATCAAGGCCGGCTATAGATTTTTAATGGTCTACTGCCATTACCAATGGCTATCAAGGCTGGCTATAGTCTAGATTTTTAATGGTCTATTGCCAATTTGCCATTACCAATGGCTCTTCAACGTCAGCGGTTCATCCTTCTTCATCATCGTCCATCTGAGATGTTCTTGGACCGTTGGATGTTGGTCCTCCGTTCATCCTGACTGTTCATTGTAGCTATTCGTCCGTTCATCCCAACTGGTCTCCATCGTCGATTGCCCATCATTCAAGTTTCATCAACAATTGTGATAAATAATGTCACGTTGGAAATGAAATGATCAAATTAAACTTTCCAAATCTGAATCGAAAGAATGAGTACAAATTTGAGGTGCAAATTTGAGAATGAAGTGGAAGTTGGGAAAGAAATTTTCTTATTCAGTGGATGGGAAGAAAAAAGAACAGAAATAAAAAAGAGGAGAAAGAGAAGCCTGGCTTTTATAGACGAACAAAGCAAGGATAGTTCGACACTTCGACTGTTCAACTATTTTACGTTTTCTTTTAATTTGTTTCACCTGTTGAGCAGGTTACAAGTAACCTTGATCAATTTGGAAAGGTTGCAGGTAAATTTGAGATTATTTTAGAATTATGTATATTTGGGGAAAGTTCGCGAAATAGGACTAAAATAGGACTGTCATATTTTTTATTCCCAAAGTAGGACTAACTACTGACATGTTTAGAAAATTCTGACATGTTTGAAGTTTGGTACTGCCAAAACATGACAGTAATTAGTCCTATTTTTTTGGAATAAAAATATGGTAGTCCTATTTTGGAATTTTCAAATTGTTTTAGTCTTATTTCGGGTAATATTTCGTATATTTGGGATTAAACATTAGAAGACCTCTTATAGACATCTCCTATATCATACATCCGGGTGTACTTATACACTCGACATTTTTGTAATTTTGTTCAACTTTGATTCCTTTAATTCCTTGCTTATTCTTTGTTTATCCGTTACTTTTGGAGTTGTGGACTTCTTAGGTGGGCCGGTCATTTTGCCAGGTGTACCAAAGCTAGGCAAATCAGTTTTTAGAACACCTAAAAACCAACTCCAAGAATCATTATTTTCAGCCTCCACCCCTGCCCAAGCAACAAGGTACATTTGATTGTTCTCATCTCTTCCAACAGCACACAACAACATTCCACCTAAAAATGTCTTTAAGAAGCACCCGTCTACACATAGCACAGATCTGCATCCACTTATAAACCCATCTCTCAATGGATGGCGGCGGGTGCCATTGGGAGGGTGGGGAGGGACATTGATGAGATGGCGGCGGTCGGAGTATTTTTCCGATGGGTGGGCGTAACTGGAAAATAAGGTGTCACTGGAAACTGAGTTTAGTGTAATTCGGTAAACTTAATTAATGCTTATTAGTCATATTTTAAAATATTTAAAGAAAATGTCACTTTTTGTTCACTATTCATTTTTTAGTAATATTCAGGTTAAAACTTCATTAGTAATACCTATTTTTTACGGATTAGTTCATGCCTATCACTAGATCCCAAAAATAGAAGCATTTGCCAAAGCATAAAATACCTCTTTCTCCTGCGCTTTTGACCATTTCGGATTGGGAGATTTCAACAAGTAGGAGCAAAACGTACGAATTTTCCAAAACTAAGACCGAAGTTTAGCGTAAGACTCAACTACACCTGCATTGACCACAATACCCTTACTTTTAGAAAATAACAGACATTAAATAGACAATAAATAGACAATAAGTAGACAATAAACAAACAATGAAGAAAATTGATAAATGTCTTGCAGGGATGTTCTCCAAATCAATTCACGATGCTTTGCTTTCCAGATACTTCGCCGCCCAAAGTCTCTGTTTCTTCCTTCGCCGTCCAAATCGATCACTTCATCCATGTCTACGCCTTCTTCCTTTTTGGAATTCATCAGATTTGTAGTTGAATTGCTAGAGGAAGCTCATCAGATTTCTAGGTGGTCTTGCCGGAGAATATGGCATCGTCGCCATTCGCACCGGAGGACACGACGGCGGAGGCGGTCTCACCGACGGACACGACGGCGGAGGAAGTAGCGCCGTGGGATGTAGAGGCGTAGCAGTGTCACTGGCCTTCGCACAAGGAGAACGAAGGAGAGGGTTGCGGTGATGTTAACGGGAAGGGTAAAAATGGAAGACAAAAATAAAGTTTCCTAAAACGGTGCTAAATAGATCCTACGCATGGGAAAAACATAGCTTAATCCTACTTTTGTAAAGTTCCTTTGATTTGATCCTATAGAGAGCAATTTTCTCTTTCGGATTTTGCAGTTGTTGGTGAGATATATGGTTTGTCTTCGTGAGTGTGTTTTCACTCCGGCCATCAAATGGAAATGAAGTGTTTATGGTAAGAAATGGAAATGCAATGATATATTAGGAGTCCAAAATGTTAAAAGTGACATTTTTGGACTCCTAATTTTGGTGGGTTAAAGAGGGTAGTAAAAATGGGTAAAGGAAGAGATGGGGTTAAATTTAGAGAGTGTTTTGACACCAAAAAAATGAAAAAGAAATTAAAATGGGGGTGGGGGCGGATGAGATTTGTGCTAGGGGTGGGATCGGTCAGGTCCGGGTCTGAATTTTGCTAAACTCGGAAATTACCCGGAAGGTCTCGGGTTATTAATATTAGGGACCCGAATAGAGCTCATTATATTTGGTTCGAGTCGGATTTTTGGTAGCCCGGGTTCGGGTTGGGTCGGTTAAAGCCTGAATATGAAATCATCTCATTGTCCTTAAATATTTTAATACATATTTTTAAATAAAAATAATCAAATACACAAATCGCAAACAATAACACAAATATTAGTCTCCAAAATAAATAACAATTTAATATTAAGAAGATAATTATCTTAATATTTTGTTTAAGATGCCGCATATAAATAAATAATATAGGTTTTCTAAAAATAATACGAAATAAAACTTATGGATAAAAATGTGACTAAATTTACTATAAATATATTTTCATGGTCATTACAGTAAACAAATTGAACATATTTATAGTGACTAAAAGTTACTGGGTCCTATTTTCATTCCTATGAGTTATTTATAAATTATATTCGTATATAATATAATTTATATTAAAGTTAATTGTTTCGGAGATTTATCATTCCAGGTCGGGTTATAGAATTTAGGGCCCGTTTTTGAGCCCGGGTTTGATCCGTTTTTTTATTTGGGCCGGTTAAATAGAAAAAACCTCGACCAGGGACATCATTCGGGCCGGACCAGGGCCGGTTTTCGGGTTTCTGTTCGGTTTTTCTCACCCCTAATTTGTGCACATAGGGAAATGGCCAAGTGGCCAAGTGTGTTAAGCGTTCTTCATTCGTATGGATGAGTCATGATGACATCATGCAGATGTCATATGACACCAATATGTAATATATAAAATGAAAAAATTTGAGAATTTAACTATTGAAGTTTTCTTGAGGCAAAAAAACACAAAATACAAATTTTTTATTCATGGAGCCTTCATAGGTAACTGAATATTTCATAATCGAACTTTACTTGAATAAGTTCATTTCTTGTTAACCGAAAAACATTAAAAAAATTAATGAAATTTATTTATTTTGATATCAAAATGTGTATTTTTTATTTAATACTTATTCAGGGAGAAAATTAAAAGAAAAACATTACTTATAATAATTTAATTAATGTTTTACTAAATTAGTATGTAAAATTATGCAGAGTGTATTTTCTAACGGTGTTGGAATGTAGAGAAATAGGAGTCAAAATACTGTGTTCACGTGAACGGAGTCCTTTTTGACATTTTTGCCTTCACACCGCTCCAAATGGTCTTATGATTGTAAGGATGTTTTTACTTGGACTGTAATTTGCTGGTCTGGTCTGGTCTGAACTGGTCTAGTCTGGTCGGGATTCTTTGTATTTTTATAACTATCCAAGTCTGGTCTAGTCTGAACTGGTTTGGTCTGATCTGGTCTGGTCTGAGAGGAATTACGGTCCAAGTAAAAACTTCATAAAAGGGTAAAATTGCTCAAATATGATGAATGATGTGTGGCAATTTTGTAATTAAGTGAAACTTTTCTACCAATGCATCAAGAAAATGTAAATGTTGCTCATTTTTTACATTAATATGTGTTCTTAATAAGGTGTTGTTATGTTCGTATTATTCTTATTGCTTATTATTATTTTTATTTTATTCAGGTCAGAACAGAAATATTCAGATCAGATCAAATTAGAAAGATTCAGATCGGATCAGATCATATCATAAAGATTCATATAAAAACATTCATATTAGACCAGAAACATTCAGATCAGATCGAAAAAGACCACACATGATTATAATTATTATTGTTATTATGATTTATTTTATTATTAATGATGTTGTTTTTTGTTTTTATTTGTTGTTATTTGTTGTTGTGTTGTTATTTGTATATTATTATATGTTATTATTGTTGCACTATTTTATTATTATATTTTATTATTGTAGTTGATTATAATATTGTAATTATAATTATAACCATAACCGTATTTATTATTATTATAACTATGATTATAACTCTATTTATAATTATAATTACCTTTATAATACTAATTGCAATTATACTTACAATTATAATTATAGCTATAATTATAAAAATTATAATTTAATTATAATATACACTCCATCAGATAAAAAATCTTCAGATCTATCCAAATAAAAAAGATTCAGATCAAATTAAAAGGATTCAGACAAGATGAGAAAAATTCAGATCAAATAAAATTAAAAAAATACTCAGTATACTCAGAAAAACTCAAAACATTGGGATAAAGGGAACGGAACTTCTTAATGTGCAAGTTTTGCTAAAGTTACTACGGAGTAAAATTTTAGACATGGTAGATTCGTAGTACTCCGTATTAAACTTTCCAATTTGTCTTTAGGGACTAGGGTTGAGCACGGATTTGGGAATTCCCGTTCCGTACCGAAGAATCGTCCCGAATCGTTCAAGAACCGATAGAATCGGAAAAATGTAATACCGTACCGAGCTTTTTTAATAATATGGTACGGTACCGGTTCTTAGTGAAAACCGTACCGGAACCATCCCGGAACCGAACCGAACCGGACCGTCTCATAGCGTCCCGAATTGTCCCGAAAACTAGTGTTATAATATAATAATGTATTATGTATAATATAATAATATGTATAATATATTATATACCGAGTATAATTGTCCGTATATTACTCTTACATCTTCTTTGGGCCCAAGATGCTGAAGTTGTTGAGGCCCTGATGCCAAGGCTTAATACTGATTGTTGACAGAAATCGCCCCGAGGTCCTGATGGCTGATGCCATTGCCTAGAATTCTGGCAGATTTAGTCTAGCTCAAATATGGATTATTAAATTGATTATTTTTGTCATGTGATGTGATACTTTTTGGTTTTTCAGTTTGACGATCATTTTTGCATTTTAGTTTGAATTGGATGTTACTCCCTCCGTCCCTTAAAGATTTGCCATGTTTGACCAGCACGTAGAATAATAAAGTAAAATATGTGTGGTAGAAATTTGTGCAGAGGAGAGAGAAATAACAGGAGCCACAAATTGATTGATTAAAAGGGAAAGTGGCAAAGTTTTTGGGACAACCAAAAAAGGAAAGTTGGCAAAGTTATAAGGGACAGAGGGAGTACTTTTCTTTAATATAGTTTGACTATTAGTTTCATATTTCAATTTGATCACACAATATCAGTTTAATATAATCTTGCAAGTTCTTCCCTTCAATTTTTGTAGAGTTATTTATAAATGTTAAAATCTAAAGTTTTTTATATTTCATGGGGGTTATTTAGTTATTTAAGAACCGTACCGAACCGTACCGTACCGGACCGTACCGAAAATTGGTACGGAACGAGACAGGTTCTACATATACGCGGGACAGTACCGGTTCTTGATTTTTAAAAGAACCATACTTTGGGACGGGACAGATTTTTCGAAATAACCGTCCCGTACCGTCCCATGCTCACCCCTATTAGGGACGCTGATAAATTATTAGTTTTACGGAGTATAATTGTATAAAACATAAAAGGGGCACTGCACAATTGCATAGACTAATTACTCCCTCCGTCCCAAATTGTTTTGCAAAGTCAACATTTTGTGGTTAACCTATAATAAAAGTCAATTCTCCCTATCGATAATTAATCCAATTTTTAATAATTAAAATTTACATATTTAGAAACTACATTAAAATATCTTCAAAGTTGTAAACTCCAAATTAGAATATAATTAAAATTTGACATTCTAATTAAGCGAATAAAATGCAACTGTTTGACCAAGAAAAGTCAAATTTGCAAATCAATTTGGGACGGAGGTAGTATAACACACGGTAACACAGTTCGTGAGCACAATACTCAAGTGAATCAAGTCCAATATTTATTTTTATCTTTTTAATTTTTTGAACAAGATTTTGAGAAATAATAAAATGCCAATGTATTAACAGAAGAGTACTATTATTCGCTTATTTATGAGTAAGTGTGATGTACAAGAATGTGTCAATTATCGACACATTAAACTTATGAATCACATCAAGAATCTTTGAGAGCGAATGATTAAACAAAGGCTCCGAAGAAGTGTGAAGAAGTGTGAGTTCGTTCACCTTCTTAGGCAACTTGTGGAGAATATAGAGACACTAATGAGGTTTCGTTTTCATTGATTTAAAAAGGCACATGATAGGATATCTCGAGAAATCATGTGGTGGGCCTTAACTAGAAAAGGCATATCACATAAGTATATCACCATCGTCATTGATATATATTTGAACATTGTACTACAAGTGTTTGTGCTAGTGTAGGGAGGATTACAGAATTCTTCATTACTACCATAATGCACCAAGGATCAGCTTTGAACCCTTTCTTATTTGTCATAGTCATGAATGAACTTATGAAATCAATTCAAGAAGATATATTGTAGTGCATGGTGTTAAGCGACGATATTGTATTGATTGATGAGAAACAATCAGCTATTTAAGAAAATTTTGAAGTATGTTGACAAACTTTGAAGAACAAAAGTTTCATGTGAGTCAAAAAAAGATTAAGTATATGGAGTTCCACTTAATTTGGTGAAAGTAGAATTAGAAGCAATGATGATAGTGGGATTACCTTATATGATAATGAGATATCGGTCAGTGATATATTTTGTTACATGGACTTCATATTCAAAAGGAAAGGGAACTAGACAGATATGTATCACATAGAGTAAGAACATGATAGATGAAATGGAAGAGTGTGTCGAGATTTCAATGTGATTGTGGCATACTGACTATTCAAGAGGGTAAGTTTTATTAGACAACATTTATATTTGCATTATTGTATGCCTTAGAGTGTTGGACGGTGAACTAATGTCGCATTCAAAATGTGATTGTGACAGAAATGTGC